AGGAAGGCAAGAGATCAGCAGGAGCCAGGCTGACCCCATGCCATCAGCTGTGCCTTCCCTCCACCCCGCGCTGCCTCCTGGGCCATCTTGTCCCCCGGGATGGTCCTGTGCATCCTCTGAGTCACCGGGAGAGGCAAAATCAGAAAGGCGAGGGAGTGCTGATCTTGGAGATCCTTCTGACGGGGGCTGCGGCGCAGGAATAGCCAATCCAAATATTTTCATGCACACACAGAGCAATTCCACTGTGTCTTTCCTGGAAGGAATTAAAGAGGTTTTAAGCCATGGGAGCCTGCCAGCTCCCTGCGGTGGCTGCTGAAGTCAGGTCTCACCACCTCCGAAGCCCTTGAGCTCCCAGCAGAACGGCACAGGCTGCCCAGAGAGGAGCAGAAGAGATTTTCCCCAGCTCGGTTCAGGCAGGAGCACCTCCTCCCATCGTGTCTGGCCGCAGGGTGTTATTAGATCTACCTGAGAAGCTTCCACCATCTGGGCTTTTGGCTGCTTCCCCGCTCTCCCCACACTCCGGGGAGGGGAAGGCTCAGAAATGGGTGAATCACTGTGAGATAGTCATTAACTCAGTAAGAGCAGCAAGCAAATTAAGACCCCAAAAGGAGGCAGGAGAAGCCAGATAGGACTTCAGTACAGCACCTGAAGTTGTTGTAAACCATCCCTTTATGTCACTTAAGAACTGTGAGATGATAAGCAGGGAAAATAACCTTCTTATTCAGAGTCACATCAGTCAGATAAAGCCCTGTGTGCTACGTTGGCAGCAGCACTGCTCTAGCAAAACCCCATCTCACTTCAGGTCTGTGCTCTCCATGGCCTTACAGCGAAACCTCCGGGCTTCCCAGACTTTCAGATTCCCATTTTATCATGTTTTATTCCTGGGCAGATCCTTGTCATTAGTCTATATCAACACAGCAGGCACAGGCAGCAAGATCTTTTAGCAGAAGAGCAGAGAAGTGGTAAGATTTGGGAATACCTATGGCAGAACTGGTTGGTGACTGTGCTTAAAAGTACATAGTTTTGATGAAAAGAGCAAGCCAAAGGTTTGTTTTCCAGTTCCATGTTGTAGGTGGGTGATTTTTCAGCTCAGCATTAATGTTGCCCATTTAACCTTGGGAAGGGAAGTTGCCCCCGCACAGTGACCACAGGAGGATGTGTTTCTGTAGGAAAACTGTAGCCAAAATGTCTGAGCTTGTGTGGGAAAAGGAGACTCTTTTGCCCCAGTTGGAAATCCTGGTAGCCCTTTCTCCTCCGCTTTCCCTAGTTTTGAAAGATGTTTTTGAATTTTGGTCATGGTGAAGAACATCCCGTGGTCAGGGACGTGTCTTTGGCTTCACCCCTGGCTTCCAAAAAACAACATCCTCAATATTTATCAATGTTTAAACCAGAGGGCGCAGGGAGTGGGGAGGGTGAGTGCCTGTCAGCCCCTGTTTTCGTTAGCGGTGATGGGGTCGGGAGGCACGTACTGAACGTGTAGGTGACACTGAGCTGGGAGGGACTGGAAATGTTTTGGGGTGGGGGCAAAGAATTAAAGTTTGTGACAAATTGGAGAGCTGGTCTAAAAAAACAGGGCACGTATTATGTCCTTGAGGTAGGACCGAGTGACCGTGTGGACACCGGGTGAGCGACCGGCGAGGCGACGGCTGCGGGGGGAGCCAGGAGATGGGGTGATGGGCACCCTGCCCCATGAGTCACCAGTGTCACGCAGTTGTGCAAAAGCAAACAGGGTGCTGGGGTGAAGAAAGAGAAGTGGCACATTGGGGAAGTGGCGTCTCCCCTCCCACCGGTGCATTTTAGGGGTTGGATTGGAAAATGCAGTTCTGGGCATCCTCCAAGAAAAATGAGAGCGAGGAAGAGAGGCCGAGTTGTTGGACACTCAGCAAATAACAGCTCTGAGGAAAGAGTTGGGTTTTACTCGTGCAGGAAAAGCTGAAGGGAGACGTGAAAGCCATTCTCCAAATGCAGAATGTGTCTGCAGAGGAGGAGGGGGCAAATCGTTTGCCGTGTCCTTTGGGGGTAAGGGAGGAAGCGGTGAGGTTAATGGGATGGAGAGATAGAGGGGAGAAAGCTGGGCTCTGCAGGAGCTTATGGAAGTAGTTTTACAGGTAAACACCTGATAAATGAGATAATCAGATAAACACCTGCCCTGGGGCGGGGAGATGAGGACCTGTGAATGCAAGGCGCAGGTGGGACATGAAGCAACCCGGGAGTCCATGGCAGGTTTGGGGTCACAACAACCCCAGGAGGCCATGACAGATTGGGGGTGAGAGCAGCCCCCCAGGTCCCACAGCAGGTCTGGGGTCACAGCAACCCCGCGGGTCCCACAGCAGGTCTGAACCCACCATATAACAGGGGACAGCCTCAGCACCCGGCGATGCCTGGTCAGGGGAGGACCATCTCCCCCAGGGCAGGTCCTTGTCCCACCTCCCCACCGCGGGGGTACAGGTGTGGGATGAACAGCCCCCCGCCCCGTTCTCCATCAGTGCTCCCTGCCCTTTCTGCCCCATGGACAAAGGGGACGGAGGATGGTGGCTGGGGGGAGCCCAGCTCCTGGTGTTTCCTCATTCTTATGGCCTGGCTGGCATCCCAGGTAGGTTTGCAACATGGCTTTTCTGGCTGAAGGAATACCAAGGGGTGATTCATTCCCTTTGCCAGTTCCTGGTTTGCGTCATCAGGGAGTTAACTCTGCTTTGGAAGGAGAAAGAGGGGAAGAGGCAGCGAGCCCCATTTCCCCCATTCCTCCCCTGCCCTGCAGAGCAGAGGACTTATTTCCATTCAGCCTGGGCAGGACTGAAAGGTCTCCTGGAAGGTGCATTGGAGTTGGGGTTAAAGCAGCTTTGGATAAGCCCTTTCCTTACTTAAATCTGTTCCAGTCCCAACAGGTACATGGTACTCGCTGTGCTCCTCAGAGGGGTGCCTCGGGTGTGGGAAAGAGAATTAAATGTTTTATTTTCCCTGGGAACAAAACAGCTGTGGCCAAAAAGTGAGTATTTCTGCTCACAGCAAGACTTGAATGGAGACTTCAGGTGTTGAACCACTCCTTCCAGGTGGGGCTTTTTGAGGGTTAATGCAGCAGAAGATGCCAGCAGGCACAGCACTGAGCAGAGGGCTCTGCAAACAGAAGCTGCAGGGCTTCAGCTTCATGGTTCAAAGGTCCCTCCATGCAGATTGGAAGTCCCCTGGGGGCAGAGATCGCCCCTGTCCCTCCGGTGTGTGTGTTTGTGGGACCATGCTCCATGGAGCTGGGTGCCAGCCATGGCTGGCAGAGCTCAAAGGGATGGTCCTGGTGCAGAGGGAACAGGGACGTTCCTCTGCAATGACTTGACCCAAGGGCTCTGCTGCATCACTTGATTCCTCCTGTGGCTTCCTGGTCTTTCAACCCATGGGCTCATTAGGGGATGTAGATAATCATCATGTGCTTTATCTCAAATAATCCCTAAAGCAGAAGCTGAAGCACAGAGCAGGCTCTGTCGTGACCTGCACTGGGCTGAATCCACAGATACTCAAGACTCAGTTGTGGCTGGTCTAAACAAAACCTGACCTCGGGACAAGACATAAAAGCGTGTTTTAGCCAAAGTACTGCTGGCTCAGGCTCCATACACGAGGCTGGGCTCACAGATGAGTTTTTGTGCAAACAGGAACCAGTTTGGTTGCACTTGACAGGACCATTACTTGGAGCTCCTTGGGAGACTGCTGTCCTGTTCTTCAGCGCAGTTCGACATAGCGGTATGTTTAAAACATTGTTTTTTTCTTATTAGAGTTATTGTAAAACTAAGTTGTCTTTTATCTGATAAATCTGAATATGAAGGTAGTGAAATGGGTCTTGATTTTTCTGGACAGAACTGAAGTGCAGCTCGTCCCTTGCCGCCGCGGGTCCATCCTTCTTTAGGATTTGCAACGCAGACACGGATGGGCTGTGAGTTACGGGAACCAGCTAGGCTATCCTCCTGCACCAGAGGAACTGAAAGGGGCCCGAAAAGATGGTCTCGTTGTTAAAGGCATCATCAAGGATATCAGGGTCTTCCCAGGCAAACTTGCTAGAGCCCCGTTATCACTAGTATCTGGGTCCCCCACATCTGTTCAAAGAGGATAACGCCCGAGCCGGTCCCCGTTAGCGGTGGGGGGTGATCTGTTTGGCAGATTGACTCTGCTGCGGGCCCAGAGACACCTGAAGGGGCTCCTGCAGCCCGGCCCCCTCCAGAACGGCTGTCCGCCTGCAAAACCCCAGCGAGGCCGCTCAGCCTGGGCAGAGAGGCAGAAAAACCTCGTTTGCCTGGCGCTGCGCCTAAGCTAACAGGCCCTGCCAAGCCTCAGGTGCAAAATACATCGAATTATCCCCGCTTTTAATTCTCCAAGAGCCCCTCCCTCCCTCTGCCTGGGCAATGGAGATTTAACTGCTTCGTTTCACCCAGCTTTTGTCTGTCTGGTCCCATCCTGTGGGGCAGGAGTGGCCTTCTGGCCTGTTTTGGTGGGGTGTCACTGCTATTGTCCTGCACCCAGGAACCAGCGTGCTAGAGCCTAGGCCATGGCATCCCCACCCAGTGATGTAAGGGTGTCATTAACAGGCTGGCTGAAGGGCAGCTTTACACTGTATGAGATATTTTAATTAAGGAGCTGCTTCCCAGTTAGGATTGAAGCTGGTTTTCTTCCACTGGGCTGTGCTTTAAATCATCTTGTAGCTTCCTCGGCGAGAAACCCATCTCCTTGAATTGCACAAGCCATAACTCCGCAGGGGTAGAGTTTCCTTGATAGGGGAGAGCAATAAATGAGGTTTATCTAAGGCTGCAGCGTGCCAAAGATGTGTCCGAGCGCCGGGGTGTTTCCTCTTGCCCTCCTCTGCCCCCCCGGGGGGCTCCCCAGCATCCTGGCCACGGCCCTTTGCGCTGACTCCGGGCGGGTTGACCTTGCCATGAAGAATTAGCTTTGGGAGGGAGGGTTTGAAGCAGGTAACACATTGTTCATAGGTGCAGAAAAAGCAGAGAGAAGGTGGTAAGTGGGGAGCCGGGGAGGGGAGGAGGGTCTGTGTGCTCCATGGAGATACAGAAGTGAAAAAAGCTGTTGCCTAATCAGACACTCCATTTCCAGGCATCTGTTAGGCAGAGACCGTGGCATGTGTCTTGGTGAAATGTGTTTATGGTGAAAGAGAGATGTTCTTCCCCTTCCTTGGGAGGATTTTGATGTGTGGCAGTGATGGCAACGGGACCCACGGTGGCAGCCGGCAGCAGGGACCGAGCTGCCGTCCCACCAAGGGCTGGGCAAATAGGGACGGGTTCTGCTCCAAAGCCCCCACAGGCAAAGCACAACTGAAATAATCACACCAAAATCCACAGAAAACACTTGGAGGGCTTCTTACTTTTTAGGTATCCCACTGACTTCAAAGGCCATTTAATTCTGTCAGCCTCTTTAGTTGAAATAACAGGAGACAGCAACGCTGTTTATCTCCAAACGTTGCCAGAATCTCTCTGTGTGTTCAGTGGCAGTTACAGGACAGAGAAAACACGCTACAAGAAAATTTGCTTGCAGCAAAATTTGCATCCCTGTGGAAGCACAGAGAAAGCTTTTGAGGTGCTTTAGATTGATTACAGAATGAGTCTGTGGGTAACAACCACTTTGTTACCTTGGATGCTGATTTCTGCCCCCTTGGCTGAGAGGCAGAGATGCGCCTCTCTATTTCAGGATAACATTTTGTGGGTACAGGTGGTGGACAAGGGGAAGGGTGGTGTAGGAGAGAAAGCTCGTTGGGCTGGCCCTAGAACAAATAGTTCTGGCCATTAATAAATTTAGGTGAAGCAAGAAGGTTTCTAAAAAGTAAAGCAGTGAGTTTTTGATAAAGCATCTTGATAGGAAGGGGCCAGAAAAAAACCCCAACATTTTTTCAGATAGAGCTACTTTAATTTTTTTGCAGTACAGCTGCTTGTGGATGAAGAGGACTGGTCTGTCTATATTGTTCTCCAGAGTTCCTGTTGGCCTGAGCTCTGCTTGTGAGGTTGCTCTTCACCTCGAGAAATCCCAGGCATTCCCTTCTCCCTCCTCACCCATGTGTTTCTTTTCCAAGGTGACAGTCCTTGTCATCACCTCTCTCACTCTCTCCCTGTGTCCCTCTTCTAGTTTTGTTCCCTCTTTTTCGTCCGTGGAGTGAGCAGGGCTGCACTGTGCAGTTCAGCGCATGGATTGATGCAGTGGGATAGGAGTGGTTTCTGTGTTGTTTTGTGTGCTTTTCCCACTAATTCCTGGGTGAAACATCCTAGTGATTGTGATAAACATGGAATATACCTAAGGCAGGGGTGTGTGCCCGGGCACACACAGCCAGCATCACCAAACCAGCCTTGCGGCACACAAACCCTTCTGCAGGTCTGGAGCAGAAGCAGAGACCTTCAGAGTGAAGTATGAGTAATTCTGAGTGTAACAGGACTCTTTTACTCACCTAAGAGCATGAAAGAAAGTCTACATGATACGTGGAGAGCAGAAGAAAGGTGTTATTAAAGGGGAGAAGCCATCACACCTTTCTTTGGCACCTGTTTTCTCCTGAGAGCACTTCTTCCAGCAGCTCACATCCTCAGTCTCTGGTACGAGGGGTGCTTGGTGAGAGGCAAGGAGAGGAGAGAGACCTCTGCCATAGGAACAGTATTGTCACTGCAGCCACCATTTTTTTGTATCCAGAACAGGGGATTATAGTTTCAAGGTCCATCTGCTGAAGGTGTTCTGTATGCTTTCCATGAGGAGCGGGGCTGAGAGATCGTGGTTGCTCTATGAGAGATCTTCTCCCCCAGTAACTCAGGCTCTCTTTGATGTGTGCCTGACAGGGAGCACCTAGCTGGGATTTGCAGGGTACTGTGACCTTCAGATCTTTTTTATTGAGTGGTTTTAACAAATTTACAGCTCATTAATGTATACGTATGGTTAGGGGGGGTTGTGCCCACAGGCAGTGCTTGGCGTGTCAGTAGTGAATTTTGGTGCTCAGGCACTTTGGATGAGGAGATCCTTCTGCAGATTCTTCACAGTGAAGATTGACTGACCTAAATCATCATGGACAAGCTCCATCTTTTCAATATTCATTCCCTTTCCCAGATCACTTATGAGCATGTTGAATAACGCAGATCCTCGGGGAGATCCCTTGATAACCTATTCACATGATGAAAACTATTTATTTCTTCTTACTCTTTGTTCCCCATTGGTAACCATTCATGCAGAAGTGCCCTTCCCCTTGGCACCACTACTGCGCCAATCCCAGAAAAGCCTTGGGTGAAGGACATTTCCAAAAGCCTATGAAAAACACAGCCTGTGCTAGGGACCAGGTCACCCCATCAGAGCGGTCACCTTCGCTTTGAAAGAACTTGACTGTAATTAAGGCAAGTACTTACTTGTACTCTGCCAAAACCAAGTTGTCTCAGTCCCCAGTATATCACGAGCTTGTTCATTGTGGTCTTTATTATAATCCCTACCAGTGTGCCCAACATAAAAGCCAGATGTCCTGGTGTGTAAGTTCCCTGGGCCACCTCCTAAGCCCTTTAAAAATCTGCCCTTAAGGAATTTGTCATTCCTTAAAGGCAGATTTGCCATTCCTTCAGCCGGAAGGCAGATTTGAGCTGCTGATGGCACAGCCTGTGAGCAGCTTGGCAGTTCCCTGCCTGAGTTTCTTCTGTCCTCCAGAGCTGGATGGTGTGCTGCCCATGAATTTATTGATCTGCTCGAAACCTCTCCGTGGCCTCAATATCTAATCTGTTGCGGAGAGCAGAGTGTTACAGGGCAAAATTCATTAACGTTTGTAAAGCTCATCAAGATCTTTCATGAGCAAATCCCATCATGTTTTAATATATTTTTTAAATGTCACAAGTAAGTTCTCATTATTCATTGAAGAGCTGAAGTAAACAGCACTTGCCAGACCCGAATATTGGAACAGGCAGAGGCTGTTCCTTTACCACTTTTAGGACACTCTCATTTCAACTTAAACTCCCTGCCTTCATTCTGTTCCTGCAAAGCAGAAGCACCCCCTCGTCCTTCCCAAACATGGGCTCAGGGATCCCCATGGACCCCCAGCCTGGGATTTTCAGATGCCTGGTAGCTCCACGGGGGTCTGAGAGTAGCTGGTCCTGGTCTCTGTCAGCATTGCCCTGGTTTTGCAGTGTGAGATGCCAGCATGAAGAACAGCAAAAGGTGGATAAGTGCATCCAGCAGGTGTTGGAACACACAAACGGGGGAAATCTTCCTAAAATCCTTCGCCTTCCAGCCCAGCACGGTGTTCTGTCCCCCTCCAATGGTGCTTGTACATTACTGCGCACTGGCTGGTGGGTTTGGCAGATGGGTCCCGGGTTACTGGGACCAAAACCACGTGCACTTCTGTTCAAGTAGCCTAAGTAAGTGGCATTTTTCCCCCCTAAGTGCAGATTTGTTCTGGGCCTCTGCAAGAGCTTCACAATAAACTTGCATTTCCCTTTTTTTCCTGCCAGGATGTCCGGAGGAGACATGGCCAAACCCCTCCTGGGCCATGGGAGCACGGAGGGTGAGCCCAGCATCACACCTGTGGCCGGCCGCACCGTCGGGGTGCTGGGGAGTGGGGACTTTGCGCGGTCGCTGGCCATCCGGCTGGTGTGCTCCGGGTTCAAGGTGGTGGTCGGCAGCCGCAACCCGAAGCGCAAAGCCGGCCTCTTCCCCTCTGCAGCAGAAGTCACTTTCCAGGTCGAGGCGGTGAAGAAGACGGATGTCATTTTTGTGGCGGTTTTCAGGGAACATTACTCCACCCTCTGTGACCTGGCTGATGTGCTGGCGGGCAAGATCCTGGTGGACGTTAGTAACAACACGGAGATCAACCATCACAAAGAATCCAACGCCGAGTACTTGGCTTCCCTGTTCCCAGCCTGCACAGTGGTCAAAGGGTTTAATGTGGTTTCTGCTTGGACGCTGCAGTCAGGTGCCAGGGATGGAAATAAGCAGGTATTGTCCTCTTCTGATAAGGGCCAAATCCCAACTGTTTCAGCAGCTGAGGTCTGGCAGCATCAGCAAATGGCCTTAGGCTCCAAGAGAAGGGGTCTGAGCACTGGCCATGGCATCCACCCCATAGCTTCTCCGTTTCTTAGATCAGAAATGAAGTACCCTCACTTACAGAGAATCTTCATGGTTCGAAGGGACCTTTGAGATCATCAAGTCCAACCACAAAAAAAAACCCCAAAAACACACCACACCCACCCACAAACAGACACAAACCAACAATCCCGGGCACTAGAACATGCCCTGAAGTGCCATGTCAACACATTTCTTAAATACCTCCAGGGATGGTGACTCCACCACCTCCCTGGGCAGAAAGGAGGACTTCACGCTTTGTAGTCTTTGGAGCCTCTGCCCAAGTGAAAAGTATTATTCAATTGTCTGTTTATCTAAACACAGCCAGTAAAACAAACCAGTGGTGCACACATGAAAAGCAACCTGTCCAGGAGAGAGGTCTTTGGTAGCCATGGTAGATCCCCATCAGAAAGCCTGCCAGGAAGCGTGATGCTCAGTGGCATGACTTAGGCCCCCTTTAGCCCAGCATCCCTCCCAACACATTCATCCCCAGCAGCCTGGTCTCTCTTTGCCCTATATGTATCTTTCTGTTCGTTGCAGGTTCTGATTTGCTCAAATAACCAAGAAGCCAAGCGCACTGTAGCAGAGATTGCTCAAGTCATGGGATTCACCCCTGTGGACATGGGCTGCATGGCGTCAGCCCGTGAGATCGAGAACATTCCCCTGCGCCTCTTGCCAGCCTGGAAAATCCCCACCTTTTTGGCTCTGGGGCTCTTTCTGTGCTTCTTCACTTACAACCTGGTCCGGCAGGTCATCCACCCTTACATCAGGGAGAATAAGAACAAGTTCTACAAGATCCCCGTCGAGGTGGTCAACACAACGCTGCCTTGCGTGGCCTACGTCATGCTGTCCCTCGTCTACCTGCCCGGGGTGCTGGCAGCCTGCTCACAGCTCTACTACGGCACCAAATACCGGCGCTTTCCAGATTGGCTCGACCAGTGGCTCCAGCACCGAAAGCAGATTGGTCTCCTCAGCTTCTTCTGCGCGGCGTTGCACGCCGTCTACAGCCTCTGCCTGCCCATGCGCCGCTCCCACCGCTACCAACTCATCGAGATGGCCGTCAAGCAGGTAATGTGGGTACTCTCCAGGTCAGCGCCTGTAGTCCTCTTCTACACACATCCAGGTGTTGGGTAGAGGTCTTAATATCTTGGCATTCACTTCCCAAAGCACGTGTGGGCCAGTGGGAATAAGCTGTTATCTGTAGGAGCACTTCTTCCACGGGGGCACACCAGGTACCAGGCATGCCCCCATCCACGCAGAGTTCCCCTCAGCTTTTCTCCTGAGATTTTGGGAGATCCCTGTTCGCTTGCACTGACCTTCACAGTAGGTGCCTGCTGGAGTGACCAAGTCATAACCCGGGGGTTCTGTTTTGTGGAGGGTGTGTCCTCATCACAGTGTGCCTGGCAAAGGAGTTTGGCAAAATGATGGTGAAGGACTGGTCATAGTCTAAGAGAAGGAGGAAATGGAAAAGGACTTTATTGCCTTATTGAGACCCTTGGCAGTGTTTATCCAGCATGGGATTGCTACCTTTGGGTGATTCAGCCAGCTCAGTAACTTGGCCGTGCCATGGGCAAATATGATGCTGCCCTTCTCCTGCCCCTGGCTTCTCCCTGCTCCACCCCCCCACCTCCCTCCTGCGATGGCACAAAATTCGTGGGGAACCTAATCTAGGAATTACCCCATAACCAGCCTGCTTTCTGTGCCGGGATATTTGCCTGGGTGTTTCCAAATGCTTGTCCCACCAGAGAGGAGGGAAGGGGCCGTGGGGGCAGCAGGGAGTGGGGTGGTTGGTCTCAGCAGCAGTGCCCGTTCAAAGCACCCGTCAAACAACATCTCCAGCCTCTCAGCTCCAGCCCTCAGCAGGTCCTTCTCGTTTGCCTCAGTCGCACATTAATCTCGGGCAAGCATCCTGTGTTCATTTCCCCTCTACCTCCTGTTTTCTAGCAACATCTTTGTTTAGTAAATTAAACCCATTTAATGGGCTAAAGAGAACGGTTCTAAATGTTGCTCTTTGCCATGCAGCATAAAACCCATCTTCCCTTGCATTAGTATGAACAATTTCCCCCCTAAATGCACTTAAAATGAAGGTTATTAGGAGACTACTGCATATTCAAGCATCTGTATTTGTTTTCATGGCTTTAAACTGACTTCTCATTCTAATTATCTTTCCAAATGCAACTTTGGGGCTTGCTGCTGTGGTTACGGGCTGTGGGAGCTGAGAGCATTCAGTAGTTCTTCCCAGCAGGCTTCACATCAGGTCTAGCCTTGGCCAAATGGTGGTGGGATAACAGAGCATTTCCACACCTCCCAAAATAGGCAAATAGCGCTGGAGGTGTGAATGGGACCCAGTGTTCATCCAGGAAACCTGCTTCCAAAAGCAAAACGAATACAGATAAAATTCAGTTCCTCTATTCCTAAGCGCTCCTTTTTAACACACCTTCGTTGTCATGCCAGGCTGTGGAGAAGAAGATGAATATCTGGGTAGAGGAGGAAGTCTGGAGGATGGAGATTTATATCTCTGTTGGAATAATTGCCCTGGGCTTGCTGTCGTTACTTGCCATCACTTCACTTCCATCCATCGCAAACTCTCTCAACTGGAGGGAATTCAGTTTCATTCAGGTAACGTTGACATTTGCCAATGCCAGAGAGTGATTTTGCAGTCAGGGTCAGGCCCTCAGGCAGACCACGAAGGGCAGAAGTTGACCTGACATCCCGGCACATCCCAGCTCCATCATGGCCATGACAAGCTGTGCACCGGTGTCAGGGGCAAACCCTGCCACTCCAACCTCCCCGTGCCCCACAGAGCCGTGGACCCCCCTACCCGGGAGGTGACAGCAAGCAGTGATGGAGGAGCAGCAGGACGTGGTGTGTTCCAGGGGTCTGCTGAGGGTGCTGCTGTCCTGGGGGGAAGTCTCAGAGAATCATAGAATGGTTCGGGTTGGAAGGGACCTTAAAGATCATCCAGTTCCAGCCTTGGGGGTCATTTGGAGAGGGCAGGGTTGTTCCCTTTCCTGGGCAAGATGCCCCTGGGAGCCAGCGGCGTGTCGGTCACACAGGACGTGTTAGAGCTGCACCAGGCTGGGGAGGGCAAGCAGATAACCCGTCATGCAGGGAGCTGCGGGGGGTGAAGATCTGCCTTTGTATTTCAGGGAGGGGGGCTTCTGAAAAGTTAACAGTTAGGAAAGCACCTGGGACGACAGTGCAGGGGAAGGTCAGGTTTGGCAGTGCTTGCAAGCACCCAAATATTGAATAGCCAGGTTCAAAAAGCCCTAGACTGGTCTATAAAAGTGGCAGAGCTCAAGAAGCACAGAGAGCTGGGTGGGATTTCAATGAAAAGTCCATGTCTGATTCTAAAAAGTGGATTTGGAGAAAGAAAAATTACACTCCTAAGTCATTCAGTGGTTTAGGAGTCCTCTTCCCGCTTGCGGCAATGTCTAAGCTCCCAAAGGCCGAATTCCCATAGTGACCTGAGTCCACCACATGGGACACTCACAAACCCCAAACTCGGGGGCTGCAGCGCTCTCAGGGATGCGCTTGGAGCCAGGCTCGGGGCTAAGAAACAGAGTTAGCAAGGAACGAACCTCCAAGTATTCTCTGCACATCAGAGCTCAGTTTGAGGCTAAATTCATAGAGTCATAGAGTTGTCCAGGCCAGAAGGGACCTCCAAAGGTCATCTAGTCCAACCTCCCCGCAGTCAGCAGGGACACCCCCAACTAGACCAGGTTGCCCAGGGCCTCATCGAGCCTCTCCTTGAATATCTCCAGGGATGGGGCCTCAACCACCTCCCTGGGCAACCTGTTCCAGTGCTCCACCACCCTCACAGTGAAGAACCCTCTCCTAATCTCCAATCTAAATCTGTTCCCCTCCAGATTGAAGCCATTCCCCCGTGTCCTATCACTGCAGGCCTTTGTAGACAGACTCTCCCCAGCCTTCTTGTAGGCTCCCTTCAGGTACTGGAAGGCTGCTATTAGGTCTCCCCAGAGCCTCCTCTTCTTCAGGCTGAACAACCCCAGCTCCCTCAGCCTGTCCGCCTAGCAGAGGTGCTCCATCCCCCTGATCATCCTTGTGGCCCTCCTCTGGACCCTCTCCATCAGGTCCATGTCCTTATATTGAGGGCTCCCCTGTATATATATATGTATATATTCCCCAAATTCCACTCACCACATCACTCTTCTATATCCCACAGCTCTTTCAAACCCCTCGTTACTTGTATTTCCTACGTGGTTGCTGCATAGTGTGTGCCAGGCTCCAAGTCCCCCTGCAGTGACACCCCGACATGCATGACCCGCCGTGGGACCCTGTCCCCCCACATCCTCCCTGCGGAGCCCCCCCCGCATGTCACGTCTAACCCCTCAAAAGGGGAGGGCAGGGTTGGGGGGTGTGTGTGCAGAGGTGGATATCCATCACCCGGTCCCTCCTGCTCGAAGCTCTTCAGCAGCGCATAAATAATTCAATATTCACTAGAGCAGGAGTTTGAGCCCTGCTCCCCCCACAAGTGCTCCCATCGCCAAGTGAGCAATTCAGTTCTTTTTGTGGGTTGTTTTTTGGGTTTTTTTCCCCTCTCTTGCTGTGGGCTAGTGAGTAATTATTTACGCTGAGCAGAAGAGCCTCACCAGGAGAGCTCGACCCCAAGAGATCCTCCCTCGGGGAGAAGGGGGACCTGGCTTTAAATCTCTCTTTCGGATCAGGCAGCAGCAGCAGCATATTAATTCTCTCAGGGGAGGGCTGCAGCCGCTGGGACGCTGGAGAAATCCATCCTGGCTTAGGTGTCTCACTCCAGGAATCCCAAATGATGGGAAATACTCCCTTGCAGCACCGTTTCCCTTGTGGCTCTCTGGGCATCTCTCCTGGAGGGTGCTGGCGGTGCCTCATGTCATCCGCACATTGTCACGGTAGGTAGTGCTGCCACCTCCTACCAGTGTACAGAACACAACCGTCCCTTCTGCCCCACGGGACGCCTCCCCACATCTCTCTAAGGGTACGTCAGCGCTGGGACCAGACAAATAGGTGACGGCCGGGCTCCAAAATAGCTCTTGGCTGCCCCACATGGGAACTGGCTGGCTTAGTTCGTGGAAAGATGCACCTATTTCTGTCCGCCCGGGACAAGGCATGATCATGTGCAGGAGAGGCATGGCTGGGTCTGTGCCCTGCTGTGGAAATGTCATGTAAAAAGAGCCAGGTTACAGAGCTCTTAGCGTGGTTTTTTTGTGGTTGTTTTTTTTTTAAAGGAGTCTTTTAAATTATTTACTCTTCGATAAGTTGGTGATGCCTTTTTTTGAGGAAATTAAGAGCAGGTAGAGCTCACAGAGCTCTTAGCATGTTAACTTCTGGGGGGTTTTGTTGGGTTTTTTTGTTTATTTTTAAAGGAGTCTTTTAAATGATTTCCTCTTCGATAAGTTGGTGATGCCTTTTTTGAGGAAATTAAGAGCAGGTAGAGCTACTGCTCCCAGGCTGCAGAGGTTGACATTGAGGCAGCACAATGGGATCCCCCCTGAATTAATGCACAGCACCACAATGTAAACACAAGGGGTGAAGCGCGAGGCTGCTTTCTCAAATGTTTAGGATCGATCCTTTTACAGAGGCATCATGTTTTCCTGTGCCTTGGAAAAGGGAAAGAGAGGAGAAACGGGGAGCGCAGCCGCCCCCACCAGCCATCTCCCAGAAAATGGAGCAATTCACTGCTGCCATCCCAGTTGCACTGGGTGATGTATGCTCCCAGGCTGCAGAGGTTGACATTGAGGCAGCACAATGGGATCCCCCCTGAATTAATGCACAGCACCACAATGTAAACACAAGGGGTGAAGCGCGAGGCTGCTTTCTCAAATGTTTAGGATCGATCCTTTTACAGAGGCATCATGTTTTCCTGTGCCTTGGAAAAGGGAAAGAGAGGAGAAACGGGGAGCGCAGCCGCCCCCACCAGCCATCTCCCAGAAAATGGAGCAATTCACTGCTGCCATCCCAGTTGCACTGGGTGATGTACTTCAGAGACACTCTATGAAAAGCCACATTTGAGATGGGGATGGGGCTTCTTACAAATCCAGGACCCACTTTATTCCCCTCCTTACCCGGAGCTTCCCAAATCTGACATTTTCCAGCAGCAGCGTGTGCACCTGTATAAGTGTCATGGGACACTGCCAAGCTCTTAAAATACCCCTCTGCTGTCTGATGGGCTGAAAAACCCGTTTGCATTGTTGCTAAGGTTTTAGAAAAAAAAAAAAAACACAACAGTTTTTATAGTAGTTCCTGCACATACACAAATTTCAATTAAAGACAGTTAAACTGGATACACAGCTCCCCTTTATGTTCAGTTTTGACGAACAGAAAATGTACAGGATCTAGACACTGGATAACAGGAATGATTTGTATGTAATTCAACTTATAGGAGACATTTTTAATGTTCCCCGGTGATTAACAAATCAGCTCTTAATTGGCTGAGAAGTAAAAATGTGTATGATTGCCTTTACCTTCCCACCCTGGGAAGTCCTCCTGGAATTTGAAGGTTGAATTGACCTGGTTTCTTTCTTAGCTCGTGTATGGCAAGATATAAAGAATCTGTCATCAGACCTTTTCTCACCTTCCTGCCGACGAAGCGTGAGCCAGAGCTGCTTCCACGGAGCTAATGACTTCACGGGACTGATGGCAGCAGAAGTCAGAAACATATTTGGGTCAGGAAAGGGCTGGTGGGTTTGGAGGGTGCCCAGACATTTCTAAATGAGCCACATACGACCGCATCACCTTCACTGATGCATTACAGGGAGCTTCACGGACACCAAGGTGATGGGGGAGATGTGGGATTCAATATGGAACACAAAGCCTGCGTTAGGAAGACACCATCTTCATGCAGCCATCATTAATGCTTTACATGGGTGTTGGCCCCATACTCCCTGTGCTGTGACAGTGGGGGGAAAAAAAAACGAAAGCTTCATAGCCAGAAACCCCATTGAGAGGATAAATGAGAACAGAGCTTCAAATCTCAGTGTGGTGTCAGGGCTAAGCACGTTGGCAAATCAGCCCCCATGGGGTCCTCAGTCGTCTCTGCATCGTTCTATACTGAGTAGATATTGAGATGTACATACTGAGCTAAGCTGCCATCAGCACAACTTTTGTCTTTCCTGCACTTATAGATCAGCCTCTACCCGGCTGACAGCTTGTCTGGTGCGTGCAGTCGTGGAGGCCCCGCTGACCAGAGGTCCTCCAGCCAGCTGGTGGCATCGGGACCCCAGCCCTCGGGCAGTCACCAGGCAGCCCCGTGTTTGTGTGAGGACTGGGTCAGCCCATTGCTGCGCTCTGAGGAGCTGCCAGTGCTGTTTCCAGCCACCAGCAGCTTATCCACGCAGTTTTTTGCCAATTAGCTTTTTTGTTTCTGGTGACCCACCATCCACAGGCAAAGGTGGGTCACTGAGTGCCTGTGATGGTTCTGTCCTTTGGTCCTGCTAATTTCCATTCCTGCACTCCCCCGGTAGCAGCAGCGGTTGAAAGAGAAACTGTAGAGGTACAGACTAATTATCTCCAGCTCTGACACCTCTGCCACGCATGGAGCTCTGCTCGGGCTGACTCCAAGAGCACCCTCTGCCCAGGGCAGGAAGCACCTGCTGCCCTTGGACTTCACTCTGTCCCCTTTCCCCCTGGCCTGCTTTACATCTCTGCCCTGCCAGACTGGTCCTTCCAACCTTTTGCCACCCGGGGATTTTTTTTTTCACCTGATGGAGAGAAGCTCAGAGTTGATAGAAGAATGGATGAGCTATGGGTCAAGTCCTGCTGATAGTTTCAACTGCAATCATGGCATGTTCCAACAAACTCCTCCTTAATTTTCCAACTGAAACCAATCCTGACCCTGTGGGTTTGCTGCTTGTTACTGCTTTGGCTTAGGAATCAGAGGTGGGAAGGGTACGGGTGACATCTCGTCAGGACTCAGTGACACCCACGTGGCTGCCTGATAGGTGCTGTAGAATTGAAGCCCCTGGATCTGGCAGCACATTTTTAGAGCTCTCCCCTCCCCTGCCCAGACCTCTCAGCTGCCTAAATAATAAGCTCCGAAAATTAGAGGATCCTTGGTCTAGTTTGTTGGTAACAATATGGTACATTTTTAAAAGTTGCCTGGGTTTTTAATTACTTTCCCCACAATCAAAAATAGGAAGGGATGCTTTGAATTGAGTAGTTTCCCAGCTGAGATTATTTTTTCAAGAGAAAATGATAAGTCCTTCCTCCTGTCTTGCCCTACTCCCTCATTGTCCTGCTGTGCCCTCTTTCCTGGACGTTTTTCTTGCTGATCTCTGACCAGCTGCACCAAGCCAGGTATTTTGACTTGTAAAGGCTTCCTTCCCTAGGTTGGGGACATCAGCAAGTTTTCACCACCTAGGCATCTTGCAGTTTGCAGGCTTAGACCAAGCATTCAAAGTAGGGCAGCAGAGCACTAGGCTACAGCCGTGCTTTTCTTTGAAAACACGGCAGCAAAGGCTTGAGGTGCCTCCAAGAGTGAGCAGCCGGGTCCTGCTGAGCGCCAGCAGGAATTGGTGAGCCTGGGAGCCACCACCTCTGATGCTGGCAGGAAACCACCGGTGAGGGGACCAGTTTAAAATGGTCTTTCAATAGCGGCCTTTCAATACCTGAAGGGTGCCTATAGAAGAGCTGGAGAAGGACTCTTTGACAGGAAGTGTAATGATAGGACAAGGGGAAACGGTTTTAAATTGGAAGAAAAAAGATTCAGATTAGATATCAGGAAGACATTTTTTACTATGAGGGTGGTGAGACACTGGAACAGGTTGCCCAGGGAAGTTGTGGCTGCCCCATCCCTGGAGGTGTTCAAGGCCAGGCTGGATGGGGTCTTGAGCAACCTGGTCTGGTGGGAGGTGTCCCTGCCCATGGCAGGGGAGTTGGAACTCGATGATCTTTGAGGTCCTTTCCAACCCTAACCATTCTATGATTCTATGATTCTAACACCCTTCTTGAGAGCCACCCTCAGAGGGAGCTGGAAATACTCAAGCCAAATGTTGTTTCTGTGGGTGCTTAAGAGCCATGGTCTCAGCTGAAAATGGGAAAGTTCTTGTCTGTAGGAGTGGGAGTGTGTCCTTGCTGCTTCCCCAGGTGGGTAAAGGGCTCTTGACTCCCTTTCCAAGGACTTAGTCCATCACACAGCCTGATGGTCTGGCTCACAAACCAAGATGGATCTCCAGGACAGAGAAGGAAACCCTTCAGGGCTGTTGCTCACCTCCGACCAGAGCATTTCTGCCTCCGTAATCTCATTTCCCTGCAGATGACAGCAATCACTTGAAGGCGTCTTTGCTCTCTGCGTGACGCTACAGCTTCACCGACTTCTGATGGTGCCAACTGCTGGTCCGGAGCCACGACGCTGATGCTTCACCCTGCCGGTCAGCAGCCTCTCGCTAGCCACGGGCCAGCGGGCAGCCCAGCTGGCAGCTGCGGCTCGGGAGGAGCGTGGGCAAGCTGCCTGCCCATACCCGCACGGCAGGGGCTGGGGGCTGCTTCTTCAGGAGCCCACCCCTCCGCCGAGTTGGCAGCACCTTCTGGGAAACTCCTGCCGAGTTTCTAATATCACACTTAACCTCTGATTTGAAAAAGAAAAATGCAGCCTGGCACGCTACCCAGGAAAGGTTTCCAGTCACGTTTTGTTCTGTTCAAGAAACACAGGAATCACAAAGAATCACAGAATCTTCTAGGTTGGAAGGGACCTTAAAGATCATCTTGTCCAACCGTCAACCTAACTGACAAAAATAGACACCCCCACAACAAACAAGGAGCATCATCACTAAACCATACCTCCCAGCACTACATCAACCCGTCTTTTGAACACCTCCAGGGATGGTGCCTCAACCACCTCCCTGGGCAGCCCATTCCAATGGCTGATAACCCTTTCAGTGAAAAAAATTTTCCTAATATCCAGCCTGAACCTACCCTGGCGCAACTTGAGGCCATTTCCTCTTGTCCTGTCGCCTGTGACTTGAGAAAAGAGACCGCCCCCCATCCTCACAGAATCACATGGGGTTGGAAGGG